TCTATAGGGGCAACATAATTGCAAGCAACATGTACAATTGGCCTAGCAATCTATCCCTTGTGGTCTAAAAACAATATGTCAAAATTAAAAGATCCGAGATATGTTATTTTGTGAAATTGCTGAGGATTAAAAGTGCAAAAGTGGGAGATAGGTGTTTAAATTCTCCCAAATAATAAAAATGATTCATAAAATAGAAAAATAATACAATTCCTAAAATAAAATATGTACTTTGAGAATATTTAGAAAATAGAAATGACACGTAATGAAATGAGCGAAGAATATTCTAAAATTAAATAAATTTTTGTTCAGTTTACTGAATTCTCTCTTTAAGAAAACAACACTACGTCAAGTGTTATGAGAAGAGTGTAATATTCTAGTAAAGATATAGAAATTATAGATAATGATTTTTACGTTTGATATGTTTCATCTATGACTGACAACCATAAAATCTCAGATTAAACAATCGAAGCCCTAAAGCCCAATGAAAGTGTCATCGCGTAAGGAATCCAAAATGATGAATTAGGAAGACAAGGAGAAAATAACTGATAGTGGTACCTGGAAACCGAGGCCTGGATGGTTCTCTAGGCAGACGTTAAAGAGAAAGAATAGCAAGTGACATGCCATGGTCGTCAAAGTACGGTGGTTGATGAGAAGAACGCCTGCAAAAATCGTTACCACTGGCCGGTTACTGTCGAAGTTACCAGTGAAAACTCATACTTATACGTCCTAACACCGGGAGATTTGTATATCTCATTTATTTCGACGTTTTGACAGAATATGGTCCTTTCCCTTTCGTGGAAACATTGACCATACCATGCATATATACCTCTAGTATCACTACGTCTCAACATTTCACGAATACCACCACGCAAACCATCATACTTTCTACAATTGTAGCCCCATCATCTTGGAATATTGATAATAATAACAATACAATTTTTATATATCATCCAGACACTCCAGTTTCCCAAACTAATGAAAGAATTCCGAGAAATTAATTTTTCTTTAAAATTTTACGACGTTAAGGAAATTACGACGTTCACTGCTTTCATAGCAGCTGAGCTCATGTAATACAATGAATTACTCTTGTCCCAAGGATGTGTTCACCATGACATTGTAACTTCTGGATCCCCAAAGCCAATCGGGTTACCAACCCCCAAAGCCTAACCACGTCGGAAAAGAAAGTATTTTAAGTCACCATATGTATCAAATAAGTCTGTTGAGTTGAAGTCGCCAATTTCAAAGTCTTTCAAAAGACATCTGTTTAAGGAAACTCGTAAGTAAATCCGGGGGTACCATAAACTTCCTAACTAGCATTTGGATTGTTAACATTCAATTTATACATGTCATATAATGTCAACATATTGTTTTCATGTCCACGCCAACCTAATTAAAAACTAGTATTTTAAACATGGACTGGTAAACATGTCTCTCTTGCCTTGCCTGATTCAAGTAGGTTGTGAAAATCTCTATAAGGGTAGAATAGAGCAGCAGGTTTATACACACATCTATATATACATACATCTACAATCATTAATTTATGCAACTTAAATTTCAAAAGATGACCATTAAATTGACAATGTGTAAAATTTTCAGAATTGTTTGATGACTGGTTTAAGAGAAACGTGTGTTCAAAAAGTTCACCAAATCGATACCCATCCTTTGCTTAAATTTTGCCAAAGGAGTGGTATCGATATGGTGAACTTTTTGAACTCGCGTTTCTCTTTAAACCAGTCATCAAAACATTCTGAAACTTTTACACATCGTCAATTTAATGGTCATCTTTTGGATGGTAACATTATAATTTGAAATATATATATACTTTTCTGTATGTTCGGAATGAAATGAAACATCTATCCGAACCTCATTGGAACAAAACGACATGAACAAAACGTGTCTAGGTCTCTAAATATTGTAATTGTACAAAGGATAGTTTGGTTGATTTTAAAAAAGTATCTCGTTAATGAAATAAAAGGTTTACCTTAACTTTTATCTATTTTGGGTGGTTTTGTTCTAAGTTTTTGCATACATTTTGTTAAATCAACCAACATTTCCTTTGTATAACTATAATATTGAGAGGTCTAAGAAAATGTTGTATATGGTATTTTGTTCCAACAACGTTCGGAAAGACATTTTATTTCATTCTCAAGAATTGGTAGAAAGGAACAAAAAACAATTGCACTAAAAAACAAAAAATGTTAACAAAAACAGTTATAAAAATATAAATAATTTTTGCATTAAATTGTTGCCAATCAGTCAACACTACATAAAGGACCGTGTTTTTTACAAAATGTTTTCAATAATTGGTTTAAGAGAAAAACATTGTTGAATTCAGTTCACCATATCGATACCTATCATTTGCTTACGATTTGCTAAAACTTAAATGTTGCCTAATTTGCTTAAATCTGGTCGAATTTGCTTAAGTGTGGTCAAATATCCCAAATGTTGACCAGTTTTGATTTGGAAGATTTAAGGGAATACTAGTAATTTATATTTCTCTAAATTGGCCCATTCTTTTCAAAGGTCCTTTTACGAGTAAATCGCTAAATAAATTTTACGTTTCAACCACCCTGAATAATCAAGTCAGCAAAATAAATAGCTCAAAACCATAACAGAGCACAGACTTTAATACAGAAATTATCAGATATAGATAGAACCGTCCAAATTTAATTCAAGGTTAGGTTATGTTATACAGTTAAATTTATATTACCATGAACACATAAATACGTTTAATGTTAAATCAATGTAAATCTTATTTAATACGTGTTTAGTGAGGTAAGATCAAGATAATATAAAGAAACAATGTCATGACAAACGTTGTAAACGTCCTTAACGTCGTATACCTTCAAAGAAAAATTAATTTGTCGGAATTCTTTCATTGATTTGGGAAACTGAAGTGTCTGGATGATGTATAAAAATTGCATTGTTAATCTAATCAATATTTCAAGATGTTAGGGTTAGAATAATAGAAACTATGATCATTTTTGTGAAAAAATGATCATTTCTTTCCAAAACTTGTCGTGTTTTCTAGAAGGTTTGAGAAGTTCTAGACCGTGTTGAGACGACATGTTGAGACGCAGTGATACAAGAGGTATATCTGCATGGTATGGTCAATGTTTCTACGAAAGGGAAAGAACCATATTCTGTCAAAACGTCGAAATAAATTAGTACTTACAAATCTCCCGCCGAAAATACTTGTATGTACGTAAACTTCCGGTCTTACGACGTATAGGAGAATGGGGTGTGATATATATATGTAAAAATATAACTAGAAGCAACACACGGAGGCATCATAAGAACACTTGAGCAGAATTGATTGATGTCCTGCCGATATGGGAATAAATTGATCCTTTATATAGCTTTTTAGTAATGATTGTATTAACCGCACTGTCAATGGATTTTTGATTTCAAAAATAATTGAGGCTAAAAGGGTTTAGGGTTAGTTGGGTTCATTCGATTTGCGATTCTATCGACAAACCAAAAAACATACTAAAAACAAACAACAAGTCGACGAGGTGTAAAACGCCAGTGGCCACTTTCAGTTTTCCTTTGGACGGTAGTACTGTATACGAATTACTCAGATGCGAGTAGGTAGTTACCAGGTTTGCCACCAGGTGGCTGATTCGGGGGAATTAACATGGCAGGGTATTACAAAATTCCCTTAAACTTGAATATGCATCAGTTTTAGTGGTTCACTTTTCATATTACCCTCATGTATTTGATAGTTATACAAATCAAAATATGTCCAGTAAAAGAAAATATGATCTGCCGAACACAAGAAAAGATAAGTCACTTTTTGTGGTTTTACAACATTAGAAGTCACATTTTCAAAGAAAATTAAATTTTCAAAGTTGATAAACTCTTTTCAAAACCACATTTCTAAATGTAATTTTACATGCAGATTCCAAATATGACATCAGTTTGACTGAATTGTGAATTTTTAATATCGTGAATCAAGATCATTTCTACTCGCATCTGGGACATTGCGAATCGTTTAAAACTTTATAGGGAGCCAAAGAAAGAGGACATTCTGTAGGATATCGTTTTCTCGGTTTTAGTCTAAAAGCATTAGTATGTTTGGTAAAATTTTGGTGCACATTTACCTGTCTCAAGCCATGCCCATAAATATTTTAATGTTTATCAAACCATGGGCTCTAACCTAGGATGAAGAAGATGGTAGTATCTAATGATATATCCTTTGTAAGGCCTTCTGCAATGACAAGGGATCATTTTACCATAGTACCAACTTATTGACACGCTATATTAATAATTAAAATGGATTTTGTGTATCTCTCTGAAAGTGGTCTTGTGGTTCAAATGAATGTCAATCAATATGTATATACTATTAGGATTGGCCTCTATTCATTATCTGCTAATTTGAACAGAATAGACTGTCTCTGTTTACGAACAATGTATAAATCGCGTTTGTTTGCCTATCGAGTGTCGTTTTACACAATTGTGCGTTTTAAGAAAATGAGTAATGCTCTAATCAGAATTGAGTCTCGTTATTTATGGCAAATAACGAACGAAAAAATGAATTTGATTTTGAAAGTGGATTACTATTATGATAGATCTTTTAGAAAATGCCAATATTGTGAAGCAATAAACTCTTATTATTTTAATGACAGAATTCTAGCTTTCTAGGTTAACGAATCAAAAATACCTTGTTTATAACGTAAAATCCATGAACTTGTGACTGAAGAATTTCATATTTCACCTCCCTCAATTTTTGAATAAATGAAAGGTGTATTTCCTTAAGTTTTTCCCGCCCATGTGTCTTGTTCATAGGAATACCCCGATGAGAGCGATGGCATGATAAAACAAATAGTTCATGGTGTACGGTCTGCAGGCAATCCACCCTGCAAAATCGTTAACGGATATACACATGTTCTACTCAAGTTACATGTATATTCTCTATAGAAGGAAACCATGGGAACATTTGTAACTATTTGTTTGTTGGAATTGCTATTCTGGGAACTTACCGTTATAACGCTACTTACTTTTCCTGATTTATCTCTTTCATTTATTTGTTCTGACATCACACCGCTACATATGATGTCGTAAAGTGATTCAGTGTCACATTCCATACATGCCTCAAGGAAACTGATGTCGTAAAAATCGGTATACGATGAATCGACGCTTGTTGTATCTTCTCCAGAGTTATTCCACGCCATTCTACTTACATATATATGTATATATCAAATTAGATTATTAATTTCTAGTTTCCAGCGCATGTGAGACCCCTTGGTAATATCTTATGTTATGTATTGTTAGTCATATAACCAGTTCAAAGATTGTACCGCTAATACCTTCTTATGTAATATTTATCTTCTTAAAGAGAACGAAGATGTCATCCTAGTCTGATATTATCTATGCAGAAGGCCTATCACATGCCTAATTAGTTTATCTCGACCACGTGTGAGCCGTCACATCACGCTCCTTTTGCGATTGTTGTTTGGCCTCTGTATACAGACTTAATTTATACCCCTTTAACTCAAGTAATCCGAAATAAATCAATCCAAGGATAAAATATTCATGACCAATGCAGTATTTCTTTGATTCAAGATAGACGAAATAATAACTTGGTCCGCTGCCTAAAATCGTCACTGTCGTCTAAATACAGCTTGTTGCACTATCACTAGATAGGAGAATCGCATTGGTTTATGTTTTCAATAAGGCTTATAGCATGTGCCAATATCTCCGAATGGTCGCTGAAAATATTTCAGAGAACATGGAAATAGAAGTAGAGCATGTCCTATAAACAAATAGAATATTATAACAACAAATCGCTTGCTGGAAACTTGCCGATCCTCTAATCTCGGTTGATTGCCTTTGAGGATTGCCAAGACGTCTATAGCCCAATCTAATCAAAACTACAATACTGTGCAATGTTGCAATTATCATTACCATAACACAAATTTGCACCAAGTGTGTTAGATGATAGTGTGTTACAAATCGCTCTACAATCTGAATAGTACGTCTATATCCTACCTAATCTCTACAACAGCTTAAATCCGGATTCTGTTTCACAATTGTAATTCTAGATCTCGTTGGTGTATCCTCTAGCACCTCTTGTCTCAAATATTTAATGGCTAGTTCACCTTTCCCCTGATAATTTGGGCACTGAATTTTAATTCCAAATTCTGGCCCTATTTTGAGAAAACCTCAAGCATTTTGTCATTTTTAATGTAACGTATTAAGGCAAATTGACCTTAACGCTATAAAACATTCTCATTAGGTGGTATTCGACTTGACTCATTTGAAGTTTTGAAAGAACAAATTTGTTTTATCCTTCCTCGGAAGAGTATGGAATTACCATAATCATTTCCCAAAACAGTTATTTCACAACATTTTTGCAATTGGTTCTTGCATATTCTGCAATTTTCACAATCAATTAGTTTTAAGGTTTGGATGTTAACTCTTTATTTTCCATCGAAAAGGCCATTCTGACCATGTGTCGCCTAATTTCGTGAACATTTTTATTTCAAGTATTCATTATACATTGCGACCTTATTCAGCCATTCTGATAACTCATCGCATCTTTCTGCCTTCAACTAGAAATATGAAAAAGTGTAATAGCACGACGCTCATGGTGTTAGGCTAATAGTAGCCATACTAGCCATAATTGGTTTGGGAGTGATTTATCAATTTAAACTAGGACAATGTTCAACAGGGGACAATATTTCTGTTCCATCGGTCCCTACATCATCTGTTAGCGGTGGCATTGGTTTTTTATTCCAAAATCGTGCATCTCATACTACTTTGTAGAATTGTGTAGCTAAAGTCAGTCAATTGATTCAGTGGAAGATGAATGAGATGAAGCTAACTCATATGATCGAGGTCTGCACTATCCGTCATTTTCATCATGCGTATTACGATAGTTACATTTTTCTATTTTATATGCATGCGAGTATGTGTGAACTATGTAATCATACGGAAAAGCTTTTCTTGCAAAATAGATTACATTAGCGGTGAGGTTTTCTTTAGAGGTTTAAAACTGACATATAAAGCTACAGTCAGATAGTCCTTGTGCCCCCTGTCGAAGTATTATGAATGTGTTTACTCGGATTATCGGCAAACGTCCATCAAGATGATTGCCAACTCCAGAGCAAATAAAAATACACTGAAATTGATTTTATAGGCAATCTGCAATGTGCTTATAATTTGTTTATCGCAATTTTTGCTGTGGCAAAATTAGATAAGTCAGTTCATATTGCTTTAGTTTGCAAGTCTGAAGCACCATTAGCACTCATTTAATGGATAGTAAACTGGGTTTATTGTGGCCGTAATGAACTCCGTTTCATTATTTCCTCTCTAAAACAGGAGAACATTCTGTCATGGACAAATCAAAATATATTTTCAAGATGAGTACCTGTTTCGGTCTTCTTCCATACACTTCACAAAACAACTTAATAAGAATAATTCATATAGGGTAAACAAAATCAGTACAAATTGATGCAGTCATTTTATGTGTTGGTTGAATATTACCGATACTTTATTACCATTAGCTTCGCCCCAGTAATCTCTATGATAAAACTCATGATCATTCATGGTATACATCCGTGTCCATTTGGACCATTAAAATAAGAAATTTCTATTTGTTTTATGTTTCTCTTATTCTCCCTCCTCTTAAGTTCTCCCCACTCGTTCTAAATCTCTTTTCACTTTCAATATTTTATCGAATTCTTTCTTCTGTATCTCTATCTAGTTTTACCTTTAAGGCGCAGGTGTGGTAGAAAGTAAGTCAATATGCCCAACGCAACATTACACATATCACGATATGGGAAAGAATTAAGTTTATAAAGGCTATAATCTTTCCAGGTAATAACACATCTTTTTCCTTTACATTGAATTAATCTTTCTGCAGGATTTTATAGCTCATCTTCCATTGAAACGAAGATCTTTTGCTGTTTGTCGTTTTTACAATAAAGTATCGCATTTTGACAAATAGATTTGGAAGACAGATAGCATTTGAGTATAAACATCCGTTTAGCCTAGGTCTATAGCCTTTTTGTAATGTGATCATTGCTCTCTGGCTTAACTTACCGCTTAAATAAAAGTGCACTCCTTTTTAGGGGGGGGGGGGGTCTTTTATCCACCTCATAAACAAGAATATCAAATCATTTCTACACGCACACATAATATCCAGAGAGCAAGTATGATATTCTCGATTGAAATACATTTCATATCAGGCCGGATAGACCCTCCAAAGCCTATATAAATCGTACAATAGCTTTATGCATATTAGCCCATACATGCCATAACGCATATGTTTAGTTTATACACATCACTGGTGATATTTGGTATTGGATGATGTTACGCGATGTATATTGCAGGCTAAGTACCTAATGAGAAAGAATAAGCCAGCGGGCTTAGTATATTAATCGTTTTGAAGATGTGTAAATTGTGAAATATCCACATGATCATCCAATTAATTTGTTTTATTATATACAGGTACTTGATGTAAGTACTGAAAGTAAGTACTGTACACTGGCGGATTTGGGGGGGGGGGCCAGGGGCAGAAAAAAAAATTGTGCCCAAAAAAGTAGGCCTTTTTGGTCATAAATTGGCTTTCTTAGGCCTTATTTTTTAATTTTAGGCCAAATTTTGAAGAAAATGGGCCTCAAAATTTCAAAATTTGGGCCCACTTTTGGGTTTTTGGGGCCCAAAATTTTTTTCCGCGTAAGCGCGGAAGTTTTTTTTTCACACCAGAAGGTTGGGCCCCCCCCCCTTGTTGGTTCCCAGATCCGCCCCTGCTGTACATGTACGTATTGAAAAATATGTTGTAACATAATTACATCCTTCAAAGTAGGGCCTCGCTGAGCTTATGGAAAGAATTGAAATACCCTTGGAACAAGGATGAGCTATTGCATTGATGACTTGTGAATTCCCAAACACGCTAACATACATATTTTAGATGGTGTTATCGGGCTACAGGGGCTTGGATTTGCAGCAAAACTTGTAATTAAAGCATGTGATAGCTAAATACTATCTATCTCCACAAGAATTCGCGACTTCTCTGTTGTGGAAATTGAAACAATTTTTACAGGGATGAATTCTAGGATTTTATGGACTCTGTGGATCCAGCGATTTCTTTACATATAAAGATGGCAGCAAAAGTATGCGCCACTGCCCTCTATACATAATGGTATTTGTTAATTTTAGACTTTGCTGATCTATACAGTAAGGCGGCAGTCGAGAAAAATATTCTTCTACTCACTACAAAATGGCAGTTCTAGATATTCTCAAGTTTTCATACCATCCAGAGGGGTCATTCATCAAGCTATCGTAAGCACGTCGCAAGCCTGCGATGTCGCAAGGGCCCTTTTTAGCGATTACGTCCTATTCATCAATCTCGTGCGACTGCGATCGGTAGAATTTTCTGCGACGTCGCAGTGAAATACCCCTTAAATGGCCCAAATTTAAGCGACCGGTGGTACCCAGTCGCAGTGATTTTAGTTCAAGAAAAATGTCTTAAATTAATTGAATTTTTTTATGAAATTATATAGAAATTCTAGGACGTATAGTTCGATATTCGATCCACGATATATAAAAATTGCAGAACATATGCATTATGTTTAACATGTTTGTGATGCTATCAAAAACAGCTAGTTTTCGGCTTGTATTTTTAAGTACTTTACCTTGCGACCGGTCGCAGTGATTGTGCGTTACACGTGATTTGAACCCACGTGGCTCTACCCACTCAGTATCCATATTGTCAATCTGCATGACATGTTAATCATCTGCTGGCAGCGTTTATTCGTTCAAAATGGCGCACCTGATGGTTGATTTCAACTGTAATGCTCTGCGTAGAGAACGCGTATTTAGAGATCATACAGATCCTCTTCAAATATACGATGATGTGGACCTTACTTTGCGATGTCACATGCCTAGGTTAACTATTATAAAAGTTTACGAAATGATACAAGAGGATCTCGAAAGGATTACTAACACGTGTACAAGTACGTGCACGTGGTAATCACTGCGACTGCTAGCAGGGACATCGCAGACTGCGATTTTTTAATGAATAGGTCGCAGTCGCAGTCACTGCGACCTCGCACGATGGTCGCAGTGTCTGCGACGTCGCAGTGATTGCGATAGCTTGATGAATGACCCCTCAGCAATGGTCATGTTCAGATGCCAGTTTTCTAAATAACATCAATGTAGAAAAGTCCATGTTCTATCTGCCACGGAAGGATGGTAGTAAAAATCGTATTCTATGGTGAATCAAAATATTTCTTGCATTTACACACCAAATCAATGACAACTACAGAGTATTATGGCGCAGAAATAAAGATAATTCGGAAATGTGGTCTTTTAGAATGATTAACAGGCTGTATTTCTCAGGAATATACTTAGACTTTGATATTATTTTTTTGAAATAAGGAATGACAGTTAAAATATCCTAATATTGAAAGTTGCTCTCCGTTTCTTCTACAATTAAATTGTTCATTAAACAACACTAAATTCATTTCATTTGCTTTCACATTCACAAA